ATTTCCAGATACCTCTCCATAAACAAAATATGTATTCTAATCTGTTAACTCTTGTCGCTAGATCGCTGAATGCATCAACATAATGAACAACATACTGAAGTTGCTTTATCGGAAGGACGTGGGACCCACACATAACGATGTGCGCGACATTATGATCATATTGCTGCGTCCCGTAATGAAGGCGGCGCACTCTCTGGATCGGGATACTGGCGTGGTGGGTCAGTTCTTTGCCATTATGCTTGGTATACTGCAGCGGTTGGATGCACAGCATTACAAGTACTTTGTCAACGATCTGCATCAGCATGGCGAGTTGAAAGACTTTGTCATCGAGATTTTACTCGTCTTCGAGGAGCTGGTCTCGCCGCATCAGAAGGCAGTGTTTCCGCGCGACTGGATGGACATGATCATGCACCAGAATACGGTCATACTCGGCGCTTTGCAGCAGTTGAGCATGGTCATCACGGACTACTTTCTGTGCCCAGTGTTCGATAAACAAATCTGGTCAAACTTTTTCCAGTGCTCGATTGCGTTCCTGGTGCAATCGCCGCTGCAACTGAACGACTTTAATGACAATAAGCGACAGATAGTTTTTGCGCGTTATCGAGACATTCGAAAGGATACGGCCAAGGAGATACGCAAGATGTGGTTCCAGTTGGGCAAGCACAAGCCCAAATTCGTGCCGCAACTAGTGGAGCCCATATTGGAGATGAGCATGATACCCGAAACTGACCTCCGACGCGAGACTATACCCATTTTCTTTGATATGATGCAATGCGAATATTATAGCTCGCGCTTCGAGCTGGAAAGCTACGGCGACACCAAGCAAAACAACGCCCACTACAAGGGTAACTTTTCTGAGTTCAAGACCGCAATGATCGAAAAGCTAGACATACTGATAGGCGCTGGTAAGTTCTTAGCTTGAAGCCATTTGTTAGGTAGTAAAAAAATTCTTCTTCTTTCTCAGGCAAGGGCGATGTAGAGTATAAGGAACTGTTCAAAATGATCATGTTGGAATTCTGTGCCGCCCACAGCACGCTCAATGTGGACGGCACCACCTTTGTGAACATGGTGACTAAGCTGATGGATAAACTGCTCGAGTATCGCTGCATCATACAAGACGAAAGCAAGGAAAATCGCATGGCATGTACATTCTCGCTGCTGCAGTTTTATTCGGAGGTGGACCTCAAGGAGATGTACATACGCTACGTTTACAAGCTGTGCGCCCTACACATGGAATTCGAGAACTATACGGAAGCGGCATTTACACTCAAGCTGCATATGGACCTACTGCACTGGACCGATACTGAATTGTCGCCTCAGTTGCGCAGCTATCGCCATGGCAGTTGTCGAACCCATCGCGAACTAAAGGAGGCCCTGTACTTTGAGATCATGGATTACTTTGATAGGGGCAAGCAGTGGGAGTGTGCGATTACTATGTGCAAAATACTAGCGCAACAGTACGAGGAGGAGGTCTATGATTACATTAAGCTGGCGGAACTGCTGAAGCGTATGGCTCAGTTCTTTGAGAAGATCGTTAAGGAGCTGCGCCATACCTCCGAGTATTTCCGTGTGTGCTTCTATGGACTCGGCTTTCCACGTCTATTGCAGAACAAAGTGTATATCTTTCGGGGCAAGGAGTACGAACGCCATAGCGACTTTTGTTCACGCATGCTGGTGCAGCATCCACAGGCAGAGCTTATGCAAACGCTGGAGGCGCCTGGAGAAGATATAACCAACAGCGACGGCCAGTACATACAGGTCAATAAGGTGGAGCCGATAATGGACGCGGCCTTCTCCAAGTTTAATGATAAGATCATCTCCAATGAGATTGTCAAGTATTTTACATTCAACAATGTGCAAAAGTTTCAATTTTCGCGTCCATTCCGCGACAGCTCCGGCGGTGGTAACATGGACGATGTGCGCAATCTATGGCTGGAACGCACCGAGCTCATCACGCAGTACCCACTGCCTGGAATATTACGCTGGTTTCCCGTTATCGATTCACATACGTTTAAAATTTCACCACTTAAACGAGCCGTGGAGATTATGAAAGACACCAATAAGGATATCAGACAGCTGGTCATATTGCATCAAAACGATCATAGTCTACACATAAACCCGCTAAGCATGAAGCTAAACGGCATTGTGGATCCTGCCGTTATGGGCGGATTTGCCAAATATGAGGAAGCATTCCTAACAGACGAGTATTTGGTGCAGCATCCGGATGACAAAGATCTTGTAGAGGAGCTAAAGGAATTGATAGCGTTGCAAATACCGCTACTGCATTGTGGTATGTTAGCCTCTTATTATGTATATTTTATTTATTATTTATTTAATTCTTATTATTTTCTTAATCTTTAGCTATACGATTGCATAGACAAAAGGCGCCGGAGAGCTTAAAGGCGCTGCAGGATCATTTGGAGGGTTGCTTTGCAGATATGCAGCATCATGTGGAATCGCGCTATGGACGTAAATCATGCGATTTGCAAGTCGAACGAGATTCGGTGATTATGCGACGCACGAACTCGTTTCTGCCCGCAATCTTCGATGGCAGCAACAATCGACACTCCGAGACCAGCATGGGCTCGTCAGAGTAAGTCCTAAGAGCTGATGCCATATATAGTAAATGAAGTCTAATCTTTGGTTTACTTGCAGCAGCGGCTTGTCAAAGTCAACCTTCCTGCCGCGACCACCAACAAGTTCCATCAAGTCCACGCTGGCGAGTTTAAGCTTTAACACCAGGTGAGTTATAGTTGAGATTATTCTATCTAAACTAATACTAACTCTAATACTTCTTTTTAACACACTTTAATTTTGCTCGCCGATTTTAGTTTGAGACTTTAAGTTCTTTTTTTTTTTTAATTTAATTTTATTTTGATGCATGTTTGGTTTATTTGTTTTACTTTTGTTTACATTACCTTTGTTGCTTTACGCTCACTTAGACCTAGCTTGGGACACACGCCCAGCACCAAAGGCAACAAGAACAAAGAGAAGCCCGCCAAACGGCGTTCTATGAAAAAGGTAACTGAACTATTTCTTTATATAATTTTCAACTATATAGTAATTTGTTTATGCAGGATCGTGATGTATTAAGTCTGCCAGTAGCCAATTGCCAGTGGTATACGCCGCCACTGACCACCATAACTTCAACGCCCGAAAAGGAAATCAACACCTCTGTCAATTCACTGGCAAGTGCTTCGAATAGCTCTCTATGCGGACCAAAAACACCCGATCCACGCGTGCTCACAGAAGAGGTAAGTGACGTTAGTCCACCGCTTCATGCTGAACAATTTTGATGTTCACATTATATTCAAATAGTTGACGCCAAAACGACCACTGCGCTCTGAAAAAGAAAAGGAACGCCGTCTCTCACGGCCAGTCAGCATTCCCACGCCTTCGGCTAGCATTAAGAACTTTGCGGACATACGATCCCTCTCCGAGAGCAGCAATCGCAATTCAGTTGGTAAGCACTGCAAGGGAATTGGTTTTGAATTGTTTATAATTCAGCTTTAATTTGACAGAAACAACCGATTCCACGTCGGAGGAGGACATACGACCACCGCCTCTGCCCGCCAAGACACGTGATTCCACAGATTTTAGCAGTCTAACCCACAGTCTAGACTGGAACCCCAATGGCTATACAATGCTAAATGTACTGAGCAGCAACACCAACACCAACAGCAGCATTAGCATCAGCACTACTACAATGACAAAGACCAGTATTACAAACGCCACGTATGAGTACGTGGAAGCGACCAATTTCAGTTTGCCGGGCATTAACGATGCAAGCAAACCGCGTCCCCCGACTCCACCGCCAAAGCCATCGCGTCACAGTAAACACATTCCATAGACAAAAGTAAAAGAAGTCGCAACTGTTGCTTCCCGCGGTGCGCCATAATTGAAACGAAAATAACAAAATCCGTTGTCAACGAGCAAGCATCGAGTGCCAAATATTCCTGTGTTACTATATGCATATATAAATGTATATAGCAACAATTGAGCGAAATTCACACACAACAATAGCCTCACATGACCGACTACCAAATACTAAATGGCATTAGTGTCTTAACAAAACGATCGCACTAAATTTAAGATAAATGTCTTTAATCAGCATTGTAAGAATCAAAGTTTAATTATATTTAATGTTAAATGTTGCAATGATATTATGTTGAACATGTCATCATTTCTATCTAAGTTGATAGTTTATTTATCTAAAAGAGAAATCTATGTCTCTAATTTGTTTTCGAACAAAATGCAATACGCACTCAAATGCTTCTTGTCTTCCACAAGTTTGTATTCTGCTATACAAAATCAAAATTTTTACATTATTGTTTTAATACTTTAAGCGTATCTAATTAGTTTTAAGCTCTAATCACAGTAAAAACAACTTTTTGAGTTTCTTACGCAAACAAGTGCCACACAATCTATAACAAAAAGTTTGTCAATTTGTCATTTTAAACCACAAAATGCAATTAAAGTCAAAGTGCATGCAATACACAATCTTTGAACACGTTGTTAACAATTAGCCAAATTTTTATAATCTAATAAAGAAAATATATTTACATGCATATTTTACTGTAGCCATAAAGTCAAATTTTAATACGTAAACTTTACTCGTGTACTTTTAAAATGAACAAATAACTTTTTAAATATTGTTATAAGATATACAAAAATGTTTTTGATGTATACACTTGCAATTAGCTATAAGAACTATGTGTAATTTCACGTAATTTTCGATCTGTGCATCGGCCAAAGATTAAGTAATAATAAAGTACAATAAGCCTGATAATCATATGAATATTTATTTGTGCACAGAACACTGCCGATGGGCGAACATTCCAAAAAGGTAGACCCCACATAATTGAAACAATATAATTTGTTAATTTGATATATTTGGTTATAAAGTTTATTCAAAATATCTCGTTGGGTTGCATTGTAAATTGAGTATAAATAATAATAATTATTAGTACATGAACACATTAAAAAAATCAAAAATAAAATACATGTTAGGTAATAGGACAATTTGATACAGATAAAGAATGGCTTTTTGTTTTTTGTTTTCCCCAGGGAAAGGCACAATTAATGAATTAAATAGCAGCTAATAAATAAATATTCAAATGCACGGAATGTTTCGTTGTTAAAGCATAGCGTAGACTTTAGATTTGAGACCAAAGTAAAAGAGACATAGAGAGTCTTATAATGTTGTATTCAGATCGACACATATCTTTGAGTTGCGATTCTGCTTCTGACTTATCTCGAGTACTTGGAACATTTCCTTCAGAGCTTCGCTCGTATTGGTTTTGCGACGGTTGCGGCGCAGCGTTACGCGTCCAGATTTAAATTCGCGCACTATAGCGTCAAGACCTGAAAGATTGACACGAAATTAACGCATGCTATAAAATTATTCTTATGTTTGTTGATGTTAAGCCAACTGTAGAAATTTAAACGACATGCGGTTAGCTTATTAGACTGATAATAACCTTTGCCCAAGCGAAAATATAGCACCTACCTTTAAGGCAGTTGCAAGCGACTTAATCAAGGGAGCTAAGAATTTTAAATTGCGGATTTTGATGCTGTGGCAAAAATACATAAATCACATCTGACTGTCAATTGGCAACAACAACAGCAGCTACAGCGGAAAGGGGTATGAACTAAGCCCACGCATTCAACAACTGTCAGCGACAACAAATGAAGTGGCTCACGTTGCGTATGCGACTTGTGGTAGCCAAACGAAGTCAATGAAAATGTATGGTCTCTAGGTATGTTTGGGGGAGGAGGCTCTGTGTGTGTGTCTGCTTATAAGAAAAGTGGCGCAATAAAACACGGAAATATAAAACGCACAAATAATAATAATAATAAGCCATAGCACGCCAACAACAATAACAGCGGAAACAACAATGTGACTTGAAGGTGGCAGACTTTGACTTGAGTTAGCTTGGCTGGGCTTGGAATGCGGCAACGCCGTTTGGTCTGTTGTTCAGTTTACTCGTAAAATAATAAATGGCATAGTCCTTGCCTTCATCGAATTTGATACGCTGGCGACCGTCGAGCGTTGGATAACATAAAGCGCAGTAAACTGTGACTGAAACATGTAAACGTCCGATGGTTGTTTAAAGCTGAAGCTGAAGCTGTCGCATAGACGACGGCCACAATGGCAACATGCCTCCTTTTTCTCTCAATGTCTACTTGCTCGTTCAAGCTCTGTCTCTCTCTCTCTCTCTCTCTTGCTCGCTCCGCATCATCCTTGTGGTTGTTGCCAGGGCAGTAGCCACGTACCTTGCCCAGGAAGCCAGCTAATAGCGTGCAGCCAGCTCCCTAGCTTCCGGCTTCAGCGCGTACAGCAGCACAAACTTAAATCAATTCACGTCCCAAGCATAATACACACATATGCATGATGTGTGTTACGTATCGTTTGGAATCGGAAATTCTACGTATAAACTGGTCTGGTTCTTTTTCAAAGTCAATTAATTTACACTAGCGGAAATTGGCCTAAGTGCCTTTCCCTGAAACCTGCGAGAGAAGAGCTTGTAATAATGATCAGAAAAAAGACAAGTGACTGATGCAAGCCAAGCGCCACTGCTGATGTATCAAACATTGCCATGGCATTCTACAGCATGATGGCATACATAGAAACACACACACACACACTTAAACAAGTACAGGTTGGCTTCGCTGGCAAGCGACAACAATATTGTCGGAAACTTATTCGCTCAGTTCGCTTCATTTGTTGTTGTACCGAGTGCGATGACGAGAGGCTGCTGCTGCTGCTGTTGCTGTTGGTGTATCTGCCCATGACGAGGACGAGCGCCAGGACACGAATGCCAGCATGCTGGCTAGCTGTAAACTTGCTGCTCACTTGGCTGCCAGCTCACACGCTTCATGAGCTTCAAGTGACGCGCGCGCGTTTTTCGCAACCATCGCACGGCGTTTATCGAACAGGTTATGGTATAACAACCACGCAGCATATAGATTGTGCTACGACTGTAGCAACGTCTCTTAATAGTTCGCGGCTCGCACAATATGCATCCTGATTGATTTCAATGTGTGCTCGTTACGCATACGTCGCGATGTGCGCGCGCCAAAAAGCAAGCAACGCCAACTCTACCAACCGGAAACGGATGTGTTTAGTGCGACAGTGTGCGAGAGGCTCCTGTAATTGAGTAAGCGCGTAAGTCAATCAGTGAAAGTGTCTGTTGTTGTCACGGAGCTATGCAACATTAGTTGGCATTATTGTTGTTATGGACATGAGAGCTCAAGTTCCTTTGATGTGCCAAGCTTATGCAGGTTCTTCTTTTCTGAATGTTATTATATTCCCCCTAGCTTAACTGATAATCAGCCTTAACTTAGCTGATTATACGACATAAGCCCTCGAATCTACCAGGCAATGTTTGAAATTGAAGAGTTTCTAATGTATTGCATTCTTTTTGCCTGGAATGCAACGAAATGTATTCATTTATTATGGGTCGATAGTTTACATTTATAAATGCATATTTACTAAACGTATTTTCAGCTAGATATACGCATCTCTTCTTTTGCCAGCAGACACCCACACATGCACACACAGAGTACCTTTCACAACCAGACATTTGCACATTTCTGTTCTAGTATATGCGACATGGTTGCATTATATTTGTATACCCTGAACCCATTGAAAATGCCCATTCAGAGCATATTAGTTTTGTGTATACGTACATATATGCTTGACCAGGACGACGAACTATAGGCTGGAAATTTTAAATATATATTTCCTTATTATTGATAATAGTCGAATATTTAATTTTGTTTTTCGGGCTGATGTTGACTATAGGAATCTATAGTAAAAAGAATTGTTAAGAATAGTTAAGAATTGTGCTAAGGCAAATATAAACATCTGGATTTCATTATTACTCTCTGAGAATTAATAAAATTAATTTAGAATAAAATTTATTCAATAGTTTCCCGAGTTTCCCGAATCAGCAATCAGTGCAGCGTCTAGTCGGTCACTCCCGCCAAGAGGGCTCTTGCTTGTTTCATATGTGAATTATGTGTCTAGTTGTGTGTGTAATATAACCCTTTCTACTCTACAACTAGTTGATTTCATTTTCATGCTGTTTACATGGCGTATGCTTGATGATGTTGTGGTTGCTGGGAGTCATCATGTGATACACAATGTGAGGTTTAATGTCAACAGATCCTTAAATAACAGCATATTTATAAAAGCCTTAAAAGCATTATGAATCAAATAATAAACTGAGAGAAAAAGTATATTGAAATTAAACCACTTTTTTCTTCACAATTGAAACATGCCATTTCACAGAGAAGCTAGATACGCTTTCCACTAGTTTGATACAAATAATTAATCTGGAAGAATTTAAATCATAAAATTATAGAAATATAATAAATAATACAAAGCTAACTTTAATTTTATATTTGAGACACTACTATCGAAATAGTTTTTAAAATGTGAATTTCGTAAATTCCAAGTATAATTATAATTTATGTTCGATATTTGACTTTTAAATATTCATGCTAATTGGCTTCAAGCTGAAGTTAAGTTTTCTAACTAGTAAGGCTTTTATTTAAGCAACTGAACTAATTTTATTTTGGTGCTAGGCTCAAAGTAAATTTATATGCAAATCTCATCAGGCCTCAGCTGAAGCTCAAATTTGAATCTAAACTGAAATCAATATCAAACAATTGTTTCAAGGCATAAAAGCGGAAATTAAATGCCAAAGATGGCCTACAAGTACAATAGAAAAATGAGCAGCGACAGCAGCAACAACAACAAATAGACCACATACACATACGCATACGCCCACACATATACAGAGTAAAATATGGCGGTTTCATATTGATTGCAAAGTGTATTATGGCTAAAAAGAAATTCAGCTTCCGACCGCACGCTCTGCGCCCTTTTCCTGGAGTGTAAAGCCGTCGCTAATTAGATTTTTACAGGCGTGCTACAACCAGCAAACACACACAGTCACACTCAAATAAGTGTGTGTGTGTTTGTAAGTGTATGTACATGGTGGCAGCAGGTAACCTGTGGTTTGTCGTGGAAAACTTAATTAAGAAATTGCTCCTGTTGCAACAAGTCTCAGCCAAACTGGGCACCAGTGAGCAGCGCATGGCTTGGCATGGTTACTTGCAACTTCCCTGTGCCTGCGGTTGGCGTAGCAGCGCTTAGGAAAAATCAACAGCAACAGCAGCATCACCGGCAGTAAAAAACGCACAAAATCAATTATAAACGTAAGTGCCAAGGACAGATTGCGTGGAACAAAACTGACAACTGACAACTGACAGCAACAAGTTGACGACGAGGACAGGATTTGCATGCGAATGGATTTCGCAGGGATTAGCCACAGTATCTGCTGCTCAGATAGAGAGCATGGATATTGACGAAAATGAAATCATCTATGAAACATGATCTAGTATAGTATATAGCTTAGTCACTCAAGAGCAGTAATTCATCAATAGCTGCAGCTCTTCAATATTTCTTTGATTATTTAACGCAAGCATACATATTTTGTCGCATTTTATCAATTGAATTTACAATTTTAGGCTGAACATTTCTGTACTTAGTTAAATGTGGCTATGCTTGTCTTTACTGAGCAGATATCATTTAATGGTTAAACAGAGATTATTATCTAAAAGCTTTGAGCTTCTAGAAGCTAGTGAAGCTAAGCATCGGTTCCATTACTTGAAGCCTTGCAATATCTACTAACATACTTTTCCCAAGAACTTTAAAATAATTTATATGCAATTTAAAGACTGCACATCTTTTAGCTCTTGTCTGGTTCATGTTTTGCCTGTTCAACATCGGGGTTAAATTGGAAGAATGAAAAGTTTATAAAATTTAAATCTTGTTACGAAATTGCCAATGCGAGGAGTGAACCAAGCCAAGAACGCACAAAAAGTGGACGTACGTATACGTGATGTGTGCATGGGTACAATGGTTGGCAGATTGCGTATACGCCAGGTAGATGGAGACACGCACGCATACAGTTGGCACACCCGTAAAACTCCGTGCAAATGTGTACGGAAAGGCTGGCAACGTAAAAGGTTTTATGGCATAAGAAACTCCAAGCAAAAAGTAAAAGTTCTCCTCAGAGCACGTCCTGTCTATTGTTGCAGGTGTTGACATTGCGTGGAAAATGTAACACAAACACACACACACACAAGCAGCGACTCCAACTGTATGAAGTGGGCTAATGGATGGATTATGGGAATGTTGATAGCTGTATGACATACCTGTTGCCGCCTGCACCTGTACCTGTTGCTTGACGTTGTCGATAATCTTATCGCCGAGGCCTTTGTGCAAATTATGCGCGGCTATGTGCTGACTGAAGCTGCCAGCATCCCCATGCTCACCAGCAGCACCAAACGGACCCACTCCCGTCGCTGCTGTATAAAGCGCTTTGGCGGGCATGGGTGGGGGCGGTGGTGGTGGTGGTGGTGGTGCTGGTGCAGGTGGAGCTGTTGCAACTCTTGTTGCGTGTTGTTCTGCTTGCTGGTAGCGTGCCAATTGCTCCTCGGCCAGATCGGCGCGTGTTAGCGCCTGATGCAGCTGCTCCTCGAGTATTTCCAACTTAAGTTGTAATTTTTTTAGTTCATCGTTAGTAGTTTTTGCAATAGCCGCATCCATAAGGTTTTTCTACGTAAATGAGAGCGGGCGTGGACGGCAGAGCGGGGTCAAAGGTAACGAAAATTAGTAGAACAAACATTAGTTTCAACGCGTTGGTTGCGTGTTAGTGCAGCTAGCAATATATATAGGTAAACATATATATATATATATATATATTTTTTTTTTTAGTATAGAGCGAGAGAGAGAGACAAAGATTATGGCTGAAGCATAATGCAAGCGAGTTGCGCTTACGTTTTGCTCGGATTCCATCACCAAATTTATCGAAAGGTATCAGAACTAAAACCCAGTTGGAGCATTCCATGCATTTGTCGTATTATTATATTTAATATTAGGTGTTGGTAAAATTAAGAATTTGTGTAAATCGAATAAACTTTGCCTTGAGTTGTGCCATTTGTGCCAATTTCAGTTGCTCTTAAATATACTCGAAAATGGCTTGAATATGTTAAACACGCTACGTGTTTGCTTTGGAATAGTTGGGTAGATAGACAAATAGACAGATAGATTGATAAACCATCACCAAATTAAGTAGGCATTCGATTAAAAACTCTTTACTAACCATTTCCACAATGCGCTCGTTGTGCTCGCGCGCCTGATGCTGTACCTGATCCGTAATCTCCTCGAATTCGACCTGCGACTGCAAAGTTGTAGGCGAGGGTGTTGCCTGTGGCTGTCCATCGGGAAGATCGCGTACATTGGCAGTTAGCTCATCATTCCTCTGCTTCAATCTTATCAAAGCTGCCTCCATTCTGCAATCAAAAAGCCAAAGATTCTCGTTGACTGATCTTATCATAAAATTATTAAAGATTCCCCTACTTTTGACTTGTCTCCACGCTCTCCTTCATGTTGTCGGTCAGGAGCTTGGCCACCTTAGTCAAATTGCCGTTCTCGGTGCGCAGCGTTTCGTTCTCCTCCTCGAGTAGGTGTTGCTAAGTAGGTGAAGCAATTGAACTGTTAGCTTGAACTATTACTGCCAGGACCTCTTGGTCTACTCACGTGCTCGACTAGCTCCGCTATCTTCTCGTTGGCTTCATACAGCTGCAGCTCGACGGCATTGGTGGCATGTTTGAGTGTAAAAAATTCAGACACTAGCCGCTCCACATGGCCATTGGTGATGGGCACATCCAGATTAGCATCAACATCGACCAGACTGTCCAAATCGTTAGCAATGTCGCCGCTGTCCTGTTGTAAGATCTTTAGCAGCTTACGCCTTAGCTCCACAGAACCGACGAGTGAGGCACCACCTTGTTGTCCCACCTGCTTTTCGCGCATGTGATCCAGTTCGGTTGAGAGACTGTTAGTTGGCATAAAAAATTTAGATATCTCATTTTGTGTACTCAAATGCTGTGACTTGGCTCACTTGTTTATTTGATCGACCTTCATTTTGTGAAGCTTGTCGAGCGCATTGCGCTCATTCAATGTTTTATTGAACTTGACAGTGAGGTCCTTGATGTCTGACTCAAATTTTACCTGCTGCTTCTGCAGCAGTTCCATTTGAACACATAGCTTTTCGTGTTGTGCCTGTTGTTCTTCCTGCGTGGTTTTGTCTAGATATGGAATTGGTTTAATTGATTTTTCTTTGAGAGCTTGATAACTTACGTGATTCAATCTCAAGCTTGAGCGCCTTGTTCTCTTCTTTCAGTGCAATGTTGTCCTCCAGCAGCGTAAACATATCATGCTCTGGATCCTGTTCATTGTAATCTGGCTCCTTCACACGACTCCGACTGCGCGTCTTGGCCTCCTGCGTACGAAACTTTGCCACTGGAATGCGTCCACGTCGCTCCATGATGACTTAGTACCTAGTATCTGAGGGATCAGAAAGAGATCATAAGTTAGAACAGTTCTTGTTGTAATTGTCTTAAATCTGCTTACGCTCGTGACTTAAAGCATTATGCTAAACCTCTTATGCTAGATGCGATTTGCCAACACCATGAATTCTGTGACTGTGAGTGTGTGTGCTATGTATGTGTGAATGGATGATTTTGTGGTTGTCCTATTGGCTGGCCCCACATTGAAACGCCTTTCAATTTTATTTTTTCTTTTGTTTTTTTTTTGTTTGTTTTTGTTTTTCATTTATTATTATTATTTTTTGTTTATAATTGATACCAGTTTATAGACGTCCCCATTGCGGCCCCTAGCTTAAGGTCTTTGTTATTTCAAATTTTTTTCTATTAATTCATTAACGTTTCTTTTTAGTTTTAAATTGTATTTGTTATTAATTTTTTATTGTTTTTTTTTTTTGCTTCCTTGCTAAAATGCTCACAGTTATTTTGTCTCAATTTATCCCAGAATTTGGCTACACATTTGAAATGCTTGCAAATATGCTACGAATGCTAGAAGTTCTCAAAATTTACTTAGCTTGGCTTTAAACTATTCGCTTTTCAGTGCAGAAGCGTTTCGACAATTCCTTAACTAATGGTTTTTCCTTTTATTTGTTTACATTCTTTTTGTATTTCATGCTAAATAATTTATTCTTATTTTACTTTTGTATTAATTTAATTTATTTGATTTCGTTTGCATTTTGCCGCGCCACTTTTTTTCTTCATTTTTTTGCCACTTTCAGTGTTTAAATCAAAAATCAAAATATTAACATAAAAAAAATTTTTGAGCTGTGAAAATTGTTTGCTATTGAAGTATTAATTTTTAAAATTAATTTTATCTTTTTTTTGTATACTTATAAAAATAACTAATTCAAGGCGGCTTAGAGCTCTTGGTTTTTGCTTTTCCTTGTTTTTTTCGTTTTCTTTTTCTTTTTTATGATGTGAATATATAAATATAGTTTTCAATTTGGTTTGAATTGCTATTTTTTTTTTGTTTTTAATTATATTTTATGTATTTTTTCTTTCTTTTTACAACTAATTTTAAATTTTATCTTTGGATAATTTTTGTTTTTGTCATGCATACTAAATACATACATACTTTACATGTCTTTTCTTTTTTGCATCTAAACTTACATTCTTTAAAGTATAACATATATATTAAGTAATTATATAATTTTGTATACATGTATTTATTTTGAGTCTAAGCCTCGAAATTTTTGTTTTTCTTTTTCAAATAGTTTTTAGCTTCTTCAGGAGAAAATAAATGTGGTCTGCTTTCGGATTTCGGATGAGAAAATTACATAAATCAAATTTCACAATAAATAGTTGTTTTTATAAGTAAATATAAAATTAGAGAAACAATACAAATTCACAAATTTTTGTACTGAAAGGTAAAATATGCCATTTGTTTAGTTTAAACAAAAGAATAGTTGGCTATTTGGACAGATCCACTATGGGACTTTTGACTTTTGCTTGAAGGAAATATAGGTAAATTAAATACTGTCGAGTGTTTTGTTTTTCAAATAAATAAAAAAAATCATAGATTCTATATATATAGATATATGTGAGTATATATATATACATATTCATATATGTACCCTGGCTTATAAATATATATATATTTGATTTTTGAGAATACTTTTTGTCGCCGAGATTCCATTTGCTTTTTTGTTTAATGTATGCTTTTTGTTTATTGCAATAGTTAATAATATTTGCGTTTTGTCATTTGTTTGTTTGTTTGTTTAGATTGCAATTTTGAAGTGTTTTCTGTTTCTGTTTCTGTTTGTATGTGTTATGGTTTATAGATGTGTATGCATATACGACCGCGCGTGGTGTATGATTGAAAGGCCCAAGGGCGCCGTTTCAATTGTCATATACATATAAATATGGGGTTTGTTTATTTTTTTGCCTGCGATTTGCTTCGATGTTGTTCTTGTGGTTGTTCGTGCATTGGTAGTGGGGCTGTTACATTTCCTCAATGAAAGCACGCAATCTGTCCATTAGAGATCGAGGATATCCAGCGGAATGCTCACATTCCTGCTTGAACCATTTCTCAAAGGTGTCTCGGGATATCACCTCGCAATCATAGAGCACACTCCAGGTGCTACAGATTGTTTCACCCGCAGCCATCTCATCGTCCAACTCGAGACTAAAGTGTTCCTGCAGTGCATCGACCGTCTCCTCAATGCATGCGATCTCATGCGCCTCCTGCGCATCAATGCATAACCGCAATAGCGGAGTACAATGCCTCCTGAAGCTGTCCACATTCAGTTGCAATTGTAGTTTATTCTGGTTTGTGTTATGATTGTTGTTATTGTTTTTTGTTGATGGATTGCTTAGCGCGAAATCGCAGCAAAGGTATTTGGTAAGATGGCGCACAAAATTCGCATTTATATGCACATTGGTATTAATATAGTCAATGGCGGTGTCACTAGACAGCCGCAGCAGATAGCTTATCCGCTCCACATGCTCCGCCTGGGTACGTGTAACCTTTTGCCGCTGCATACCAACTGTCGCTGTGCTGTTGGGCTCCAGAAATTGAAAGCTATTCGACTGCAAAAAGTCGCGATACTTGCGAGCATCGCTCCAAAACAGCTGGCCTCGATCCAGCTTGTTATCTATATGCCATAGCTTGTGTGTGTATCCGGCGCCAAATTCTTGCACAAAGTAGCTGACAAAGGCGCGTACAAAACGTTCGGTGAATTGAGGATCCTCCAACCAGTGCTGCTGCCAAATATCTTTCAACACGATACCCCCCTCATGCATAATGGGTCCGAGAAACTCAAACACATAGGTCCAGCCATTAGGTACATCTACCAGCAGATCGGGAAACTCCTCGCCAAAGCGACTGTACGCCAGGGCAAAAGCGGATTTGCCCAAAGCCTCCTGTTGCATTAGATACGAAAAAGCATTGGCACATGCCAAGCGCTGCTGTCGCTTGACTTCCGCACGATGAACATAATCCATCAGGATATAGTGTATGATTGCTGCTGCCGCCTGTTGCTTGGCATTAGAATTACGCCAAATAAACAGCACCTCTGGCTGCCACTCCCGTGTGCTGAGCACCTCTTCGACAAGCTTTGTGAGCAGCTCCTGACACTGTTTCCTATCAAATTCAACTTCCGAAGCGATCGGTTCTGCATTCTGATTTCTGGTACCTGCGATAGGTACACCTGGCGGTGTCGCCGTTTGCTGCTGATAAGGTGAATAGGTAAAGGAGCTCGTTGGCGGCAAGCGTTTAAGTAAACTGGGTTGTGTCGCTGGCGTACCACTGACCGGACGATTGCTAGCGTTGCGCCACTGATAATGTGAGGAATTGCCCAGCTTGGCGGTCACTGCATCGTCATTGTTGCTGCTGCTAAAGCGCAGCTTATTGGGATCTATGCTAAGAGATTGGTTTTCATGCTGTTGAGCCTTAGGCAGCTTTTGCATAAAGTAATTGCCGCTCTCATTGTAACCATGATGGTGATGGTGTTGCTTCTGTTGTTGATACTGGTAGTTTGATTGTTGTTGTTGTTGTTGTTGGGGCAAATGACTGCTACGTGAGCTGTGCTGTTGCTGCTGCTGCTGCTGTTGTTGCGCCTTGGGTTCGTCGTGTTGCTTGTGACGCTGTCGACTGCCAGAGGCCGTGTGAGTTGTCACTGGTTGATCCCAGTTACGTGAGCGTAAATCAAGTACATCCTGCATCATGAATCGCACACGGCTGCTTATTTTAATATTAAACTGATGCTGCCGACTGCTACTGTTGCTGCTACGTGAGCGTTGAACAATATCTTGTATGCGGCGAAAGATCTTCTCGATGCGCGCACCGCTTTGGTATTGTTCGGGCGGGCCGGCTTCCAGCAGATGACCAACAGTTGTCAATAACTTACACATATACTCCAGCTTCTCCTCACAGCCATGTTCCAGCAACGACTCAACACAGTGCAGCACACGATCGCTGGTCAGTGATTGTAGCTTGAAAAGTTCGCCTATGAACCGCACAGTGCCCCAGGCACGACGTCTGAACTGATACTCAAGGTCCTCCATTTCAGCCCGCAATTCGATCTTCTTGGCCGTATCTTGGCACGCATTGATACGCTCTTGGGTGGGCTGCAGTTTCTTGGCCTTGGCATTTGCATCATTCACGTTCGACTCGAACTCGTGCTGAATGCGCGTGATTAACGAACTGGTAAACAGAGATTTGTTCTCTGCCTTGATCTCATGAAATAGCACCTTGCAGAAGCGAGCATATGTGGGCGCAAAATTGGGCTCACTGATGGTCTTCTCAAAGATAAGCAGCATAACCTGTTAATGCGAAAAATACATTTCATCTCAGAAAATTAAAATAATGTCATAAGTAAGAATTCGTTCCTCACATTTGTCATTTTGCGTTGGGTATCCATATTGATGCTGGACATTGCTTTCAGTAGCACCTCAAAGTTGTCAGGAGTCAACTTATTGAGTATGCCACGAACTTTCTTCAGTACCACATCCATATCATCATCTTGATCTACCTCCGTTGTGCTGAACATGGACATGCGACGCAACGTTTCCGGTTGCCAGGCATTCTCGCACTCTGATAACTTAATTTCCTCCTTCAGAGATAGCTGCACACGTATGATATCCATGTGTCGCTGATTGGAGCTACTCATACCGCCAGGACCAGAACTATTTGCACTCGAGTTACCGCCCATTGGCTGATGCCCCTCATGATGTTTCTTATTCGGTCCATGGCCATGACCACGACCGCGTTTTCCTGTGCCATACTCCATCGATTCATGTGCGTGTTGATACTGCTGGCTATGCGGATTGTGTCCGTGATGGTGTTGCTGCTGCTGTTGCTGCGATTGTCGCGAGACAAATAACTGTGCAATACAATCGCCCTTCTGACAGGGTACTAACGGAGGCTTCCGTGAATCACTGAGCTTTGACAGCTCGCGCAGCTCATCAATGTTGTACCGTATAAATTTGCCAACACTAGCGCTCTTTGAAGATGCCAACGATAATTTAACGGCTGCGATCTTCTGAATTGAGCCAGGTATTTTGCTCGTCTGATGAATGGGGGAATTCTTTTTAATGGGTGGCTCAATCTTTTGGGTGCTGCTTTTAGGTGCACAATCTACATTATCTTCAGACATAGTGCTTTGTGAGCTAGTCGCATCAATTGGTTGTGAGCTGGACCAGGTGGAGCTGCATATGAAACTGGTATTATGAGCTGGCGGCTCCTCATTAAAGTCACCAAATTTTAATTCGCCCACATTGCTATCAACGCATTTGCTGGTATTATTGCCGTCCGCTTCGCCTCCAGCATTACTCTCTGTTAACTTATCGGCAAAAACAGCACCACTTATCAAGTCCTCATCCTCACACATGGAACTGCTGCTATTAAGAAACTCCAGCTGCGTATCTGGTGGACTGGGTGCATCGTCAAAACTCTTTTGAAGAAACTTTGCTACAATGTCCTCATTGGCCATGTGCTTGTCTAGCTGTTGTGCTGCATCATCCTTGTAGTCTACTGAAATATCAATGGACAAGAAATTAATTCAAGTTTAGTGAGTGTAATTGGATTATGTTAACTTACATCTGTGTTCGCAGGCAGCTGCATCGTCATTGTTGTTGCTTGAATGCTGCTGCTGCTGCTGTTGATCTTTGGGTTTCTTGTCTCTTACGCTAGAACTTAAGCTAGAATTATTACTAGTTGCACTAAGCTTATCAGTCATCGTTGATGCCGCTTTGTCCAGCATTGCGGACGCGACTGCGGCCGTCGCTTTAGTTGTTGTCACATATGTGATGATGGTGTCAGCGCCACCTGCAGCATTGTTGTTATTGCTGCCGTTGCTCTTTGAGCTACTTGTGGCGCCACTTCTGCCATTATTATTATTATTGTTGTTGGTCACGTTACTGCCGCTGCCGCCACCGCCACCGCTGCCGCTGCAACCGCTGTTGGCCGCTGCGGTGCTTGTGATGTTAGCTGAAGCCTTTTGCTTTTTCTTCTCCTGCTCCTTGCGCTTCTGAGCCTTTCGCTGACTCTTCCGGCTCATATTGTTTGGAGGCAACACTGAAGCAGATGACGCTGCACTGTACGAAGCTGCGCGTGCAGGACTTGGACTTAGCGGTCGTCCTGTGCCTGATCCTGCTGGTGTTCCTCTGACGCTAATAACTTGCTTCGGCAGTTGAAGCGGTTGTGCTTTCGGCAGGTGCGTGGGCGTCGACGTTGCTGATGAAGAAGTCGAAGGCAAAAGCGGCAGTTCAACTTTTGCTTGCAACTGCTGGGTGTACTGGCCAGCAGGTTTCGGTTTCATCATCTTTGAGGGACTAGCCGGAGTCGTATCAGATCCTAAGTTAATGCTCATTGGTTTCGCTGGATTCTGCAAGAGCGGTTGCTGGTGCGGCTGTTGTTGTGGCGCTAAAGTAGGTTTGATACTAGTTAGAATACTAATACTCTTGCTGCTGCTGGTTGATGCTTCTGCCACAGCATTGGCTATAGATGTGGGCGTGGCTGTACCTGTAAAACAATTCGCCAATTAAACAAAGGCTTAATCCGATATGATATATACACAAACTTTGCTTGTTCGCCGACTTGGGACGCTGTTTCTTGGTCGTTAGCGATTCCTTGAATAGCACTGGGACGTTTGTACTGCCAGCTGCTGCAGTTGACAAATCATCGAAATTAACGTTCAAGTTGCCGCAAGGTGACTCAGTTGCATTCTCTGAGGGGTTATCCACTACAAAAATAGATGGAACATTTTTGAATTAGTTTATAAAGTACTGTGCACTTAGAACTAGATAGAGCATATCTTGAGTGTTTAAAATTCCCAGACTTTAGGTAGTAAGTAAGACAATGAATATTTATAAATTTGCAAAAATCTAATAAACTTCATATGAAAGTATTAGTTTAAATCTTTTATAGTCTTGTTTACTTGAGCTTCCAGATTTGAAAGGGATATAATGTAGGACAACCTTAAATTTACTACATACTTTTTACTCAATTTCATTTTATCTTACCGTCATTGTACTGCCAAAAGCTAAGGTGTTCGTCCGGATTGCCGGAGTGGGCCAGTATGTCCTTGACAATGACGCTGACTTTGTCTTCATCAGTCAATGGGAGTGCTCCAGTTGCAGTTGCAACTGCAATTGAATGACAGGTGCCCACCGGTTGCAATGCTTTCTCCGTTTGCATTTGATGATCCACCATGACGCCGGTAATTAAAGCAGTTGTGGAGCCTGAATCTGATATACCGGTTGTTTGGTATTGAGGAAGGCTGCTGTCGCTTCCCGTGCTTGATGTGAGTGTGCAGTTGGAGTCTTTTTTTATGAAAACCGATGAATTGGGATCCAGGACATTCTCCTTTGTGTCTGGATGTATGATGGGTATCGCATGCTTGCGCTCCTTCACCTTATCAGCGCCAGCCAGCTGGGCGGCCGTCGTCAGCGAGGTTGACGAAAAAGCTCCAGCCACACCCGCAACAGCACCCACAGCTGTGGCGCTGGTGCTCTGCAAATGAGGTGGATACGTATGCAGCCCGGTTGTGGGAGCCGCCGGAGCTGCTGTCATACCAGCGGCCGCTAGCATTGGAGCCGTACTTAAGCTGGGCTGCTGTACTATCGGTATGTTCGAGCAGTATGCCGGTGGAATGTGAAATGCCGCTGTCCCGTTAAGGGGAGTGCTGCGCGGATTCAAAATGGGCGTAACAGCCGCCGCTGCGGCGTTGTTGACCAAAGCAGGACGCGGCTGAGGCGCTGCCGAGGGTACTGCGTAAGTAAAGTAGGGCTGTTGGGGCGGCGTCGAACGCTGCCCGCCACGCATATTACCACGATGTGTGCCATTGCCACCTCCGCCGCCTACCGCACTGCTGTTGCTGTTGTTGTTATTGAGCGGCGCTGGCGGCAACGCCGTGTGATAGTAGGCTATGGGCTGCTGTTGCCCTGTATTTGCTGCCGGCCCAGCGGTCACGCCGTGCTGCTGGCCAGCGGGCAGCTGTTGTTTTTGTTGAGATGATGCCGCATAGAATGCGCCAGCGGGCGCTGCAGAACCTCCGTTAGATGCGAACGCCATGGCCATTTGTCCGGGATGTTTGAAGGGCAAGTAGGCTGTCGAAATGTAAGTGGTGCCGGCCCCAGCCCCATTACTGCCAGGGGGCGCGATCAGACCAGCTGATTGCGTATAGTGCGGCGGAAGCGTCGAATTGCTAAGGGCGCACACCAAGCTTGTATTGCTGCTGGTTGGCGTAAGGACGCCATTGGCATGCGCGTGACCATGACCATGGCTATGATGATTATGGCCATGGGCATGTCCCAGCGAGCTAGTGCTGGCGGCGCCACTCAGTTGAAGAGCGGCGCCACCGCTGCTGCCATTACTGCTGCTGCTGGACGAATGCTGCGCGTGGTTCACATATGGCAATGCCGACGGTGGTTGACTGGGATAGAAGATAATCGGCTGTTGTTGTAGATGATGCTGCTGCTGTTGCTGCTGCTGAAGATGCTGCTGCTGCTGCTGCTGCTGTTGCTGTTGGTGCTGTTGCTGTTGCTGCTGCTGCAGCTGCTGCTGTTGCGGTAGGGCGTGGTGGTGATGATGAAGATTACCGAGATTCGATACGCCGCTCTGCTGTGGAACAAACACTGCGTGCGCCGCCTGTTGCTGCTGATCCTGTTGCTGATGCAGATGGGAGATGCGTGCTTGTTGCTGTTGTTGCGGCGGCTGTTGCTGCGACTGGTTTTGATGATGGTGGTGCGAATGCGAGTGTCCGTGTGACGTCTGGTGGTGCTGGGTCTGGTGGTTGTGGTTCTGCTGGTGTGTTGACTGTGGTCTGTTTCCCTTCCCACCCCCTCCCGTTGGCATGAACATAGGAGGACCTTCGTAGAATCTAAACAGAAGCACACGTAACCCACACACACACCAATAGTGTGTTTAATTGTGCGCGCGTGTGCATGTGTGTGTGTTACGCAAGCCAAGAGGTAGAGAGAAAGAAAGAGAGGGAGAGAGGAGCACACGATCATGTGGAGACAACCACAAATATCGTTTGCGCCGTGGAGCAGAACAAAATGTACAAAATTTTATTGTTAGTAAGATGAAAATGGGAAAAAATGAAAAGCATTAAAATAAAAGCCATAGGTCATTGAATGTGGTGAATGATCGTGCGAAATTTAAGCAAAAAAGCGCATGCAAATTATATAGAATAAAAACAACTTAAAACTAACAGAGAAAAATATAAAGAACTAAAGGGATTCAAAATGTAAATCAAGTGAAAGAGCTTTGGACTGTTCGGAATCCTGTCATGTTAGGAATTTAGAAAATCATTTTCCTTTAAAAGTGTTCTTTATTATAATTCTAAGTTTATTTATTATAATTCATTAAACATTTCCAATTTATAGTTTTCCGAGTGATTGCTGTACCTATCGCTTTCACAGGTTAACCAAAGACCAAGAGACAACGATATTAATCAAGTTTTCTGCATTCAATTGTTTTTAATTTCAGAATGTCTAACGAGTGTCAAACGTTTTGTAAACGGAATCAATAAATTCCAATTTTGCTAACTGAATTGGAATTTACAATAGTTCAAAATGCACGTTTCGTTGGTTTTTTAAATATATATATATATATATATATATATATATATATATATATATATATATATATATATATATATATATATATATATATATAGAAAGTACAAAAGGTAGCCTTTATTATTTTAATTTTTGCAGTTAATTGAGCTCATGCATTAGCATGATGTCACGTATGGGCGTGTGAAGTAGGCAAACATACACACACACACAAAGATAAATACATACAGCTGTTGGGGCGCACTCACTTATCGGTTGCTTTTATCAAAATTTATCACATAGTATTGAAAAATATTGGCCATACACAACAGTACAACAACAATAAATAAAATTTAATATAAAGAGAGCCATCGGGATGACACACAGGGAACAACAACAGGTGGCGTTCTTAGTCAGCGACATGTCAAACAGCAACAACCACTATGAAAAATGTGAGCAAAACGCAAAAGCAAAAGTCGTTTGGCGTGGGAAGTTCGGTTGCTGTACAAGTGTTTCCCCATCTTCAGCAGAGGATGTGGGCAATAACTGGCACAAATAGCCACTGAACTGGCTTTCGCGGGTGTCCCTTGGTGGAAAACCTGTTTCTGAACAACAGTTACTGTAATATTTTCACTACGTGTCTGCCAGCAAAGAAAAGCCGAAATGGAAACCCGTTTGGCCAAAGATTTGCACTTGCCTTTGTTTGTAAACAAAAACCAGTTCTGGCCTCAATGTGTGGGTGTCTGATTGGAGTTTGGTTCTGATTGGCGATAAAAACGATTCTGACCATATTCTAGCACATTACAATAGGGTATGATTAAGACCAGCACAATAGCAAGAAAGCGTATTTTCTAAATTTAATTATTTTTGATAAAAGGCTATATTTACTTACCGCTTCCTGCGCTATTTTTATTGCTACCGCTTCGCACCTCCGTTTACGTTATTGTTGTCGCCTACCGCAATTGCGTTTGTCCCTTTTTCTCTTATTGCCTTTTGTTGTTGTTGCTGCTGCTTGCTACAGGCTCGTGCTTGCTTTTGCTTTTGCAATTGCTATTGATATTGTTGCCGTTGCAGAGCCCCACGAGGGCGCAAAACAAAGCGACGTGCGTTTCTTTCTTGTATGGAGTACCGTTCCACGATGCCTTCACAATTATTTCTTTTGGCTCTGTGACTGCAATTTGTTGTAGTACGCAGACTCAAATGATAATTCAACTCTTTCTCGATTTTGTTTCGCTTTGTTTATAATTTTGCGAGCTGCCGAAGTGCAGACTCTAGCTTTTTTTTTTGCGAAAATTGATGCGTTCTTTTTTTTTCTTTTTACGTGGCCGCGTTTGATTTTTTGTTGAATTATAAACTTTTTGCATGTATAATTAACGAAATGCAAATGTTAACGCACATCGACATTTAAGTGGACGAAAAACGAGCACGCACATATATACGTTCAAAATATAGAAATAAGTACTGCTAAAATTTCACGGTAATTTTCTCTATAATTAAAAGAAAAAGATAAACGTTTGTTTTAATTTTGCATGTACAATTTGGTCAATTCATGGAACTGTTAGGCAGAGCTTACTATATTGTTTTCGATTGAATTTGTTTTTCTGTCTCACACACACACACACACACACTTCCACACATACATACGTACATAGCCACACACACACTTCCACACAGAGACTTTCGTCGAGGCGTTGGTTGTTTTTTTTTTTGCCTCTGATGCGTTTGCTTCTCGGCTGTCGGTCGGTAGGTTTCTTGGTGGTACTTACTCGCCGCCCAAAGCTGCTACACACAGGCACACATCATAAAATGAACGAAAATGAAAAAATTGGGTTCCACGTGGGGAACACGCCGATTAGGTACTCGCGGTGTGTCTTTACATTAGTTCATTGTTTTTTCTTTTGTTTACGGTTTAGTATAATCTGTATATCTTCCTATTACAAATAATTTTGTAAAATGTAAAAACGCTACAGAAACACGTCCGCTCTTGACAACTTCACTAACAGAATGTTATCGATTAAGTCGATTGTTATTCGAATAACATATGTTTTGCCATCAAAAAGCTAACAGGTTCGGAACTGTTTTCAACAGAAAGCTCACTGTTAATCTGACAGTATTACTTTAATTTTTCCATATACATGTAATAGTAGAAAAAATAACTAAATAATTAATAATATGTTTACAGTATATGGTTGTCAAGCTATTTTTACAAAAATATTTAATGTGACTTGAAATTAATTTTAATATCAATTTCTCTTTAATGACTGCAAGTTAAGTCATAACATAGTCGAACTCCTATCCATTCTCACAAACAATTAATTTGTAAATGATTATAATTTAAATCATTTATTATACACATATGTGTATATATTTATTTAGAGTCATATACGTATGTAGTGTAAATAATTTTGGAACTGAAATAGATCAAAGTGATAATAATATATATTATTGTACAACACATTTCGATTTAATCGATATTTGTAATGAACAAACGGTTACACTGTGTTGATTTGAAATTATTTTGAAGAGACTGCGCCATTGCTGAACAAGTAATCAAATTCTGTCTGCTATAACACTCCCAAGTATCATTTAGATAGAATACCATACCATACATTGAATATGCTATAAAAATGCTTAAATTTTTTTCTTTCTAAAAGTTGTCTAATGGCAAAAAATAACAAATAATTTTAAAACCCGTTTTTGTTATAAATGATTGTTGTTGATTATCACTCAGTTTTTTAGAAGTAACGCCTACTTAAACGATTTATTGCCCTTGCATACGTAAAAAATGCCGGCAAATACAAATCAAATACATATGTATATGTATGTACTTTTATGTTTGTATAATTTGTACATATTTATTTTTATGCGCATGCGCATTGTTGCTGCTTCCATTGCATAGTAAGCACCCTGTATGGCCTTGATGAAACTCTGAGCTGGAAGGCTTGCAGTATTTACGCGCCCAATTCTTTGGGGTCATAGTAAAAACTGTTTTCTCCCCATTTCGGCATTTTGCCGGATGTGCTGCCAGAAGGGCCATTGCTGCGGTCCAGCCCGGCCTCCATTTTCTATATATATATCTATATGTGTATGCATGTATATATCTTATATCCCCGGTCTGTGCTGTCACAAGGCTTGTCGCATTTCTGGCTGCTCTTGTTGAAGGTATTTATCAGCTGAATTACATTGCGGGTCTTTCCACTTTGAGCCTTGACATTGGTCACGCATATATTCAATTTATAACTATTTACAAAACAGACGAAGCACATATCTAAATAAACCTATTACCAAAGCCATTACAAAAGGCTACTAACCGCAAATGGAAATATGTAAAGTTCAGAAAGTAACCACAGGGAACACAACCGCAAGCCACATACAAAGTCACACACTTTTTGGGAAAGTTACATTGCATGTATTTAGCAAAAGTTATTTGTTTATTGGAGCATTGCTTTAGATGTCGATCTGCAAATATAAGAGAACGTAATTTATTAATTTATTTATTTATTCTTTTGAATATAACGACATCTTTTGAAGCGCCATCTATCTTTAATATTAGGCGCCTTGCTCATTTTCAGTGTGACCAACATTGAATGTTGCTAATGTATGAATTTGTAAGTACTATTTTTTTTGTTACAGGGTAACATCAACAGATAGAGCGTCTCAAGATGTGTGAAATCTTTTATGATATTGTTAAAACATTTGTAATATAATAAAGCGTACCCGTTTTGTCTGAGTGTAAAAAATACTAAGCATATAAACACCCTAAAAAATACCAGAATTTATTGCCAAGTAGTATTGCCTATTGGAATTTGCGCGGCACTCAGTCTGAGGCCGAAGCTTGTTCCTGACGCGCGTTTCATGAGCCGCGGCGTTCAAAACGCTATTTTCCGTTTCATTCATTTCCACGCACACATATTTGGAGTTTTGAAGAAATTACAACAAAACAACTACAACAACGATAGTCATATTGTTTATAATTAAAAGTTAAAGACTTTCGTTTTTTTCAATTACAAATTTAACAAATAAAAAACTGTGAAATGAACAAAACAAAATAAAAAATCGCACGTTTTAAACGTTCCCTTGCAATGGGCATAGCCCAATTAAAAACATTTTCTTTTTTTTCTACATATACTTTACAAAAACATAAAAAGCTAATAATAAAAAATAAAAACCTTACATAATTAAAAAATGTATTTAAAATTTACAATATCAAACAAAGTGAAATTTGTGCAATAATTTAGAAAAATTTCTATAAGAAATTAAATAAGCGAGAGAAAAACTTAATCAATATCAATTAATACAATGTAGTTAGCAAAATTAAACAAATAAGAAACGAATACAAATTGAAAACAGTTCGTAGACCAAACTTACAATTGTAGCCAAGCATAAAAAGATTGAATCAATACGAAGACTATTTAAGACTTTGAATTGGACAGGAAAAACTTCAAATAATTTGCCGCCAACTCGAAAATATCTCAACACCCACCAAGCGAGAGAGAAAGAGAGAGAGGGAGGGAGAAGTAGAGGGAAGGAGAGCAAGAGGGGCAGCAGCTTGCAGACACGGAATTAGTTTGCTTTAAAGCCGAGCCCACCTGAAATTCGAACCCAATAACACCTGCCAAAAATATTTATATCCAAAAGTACGCCCACGCAAGCGCAAGTCCAGAGGCAACAACAACAACAGCAGCAGCCGCCAAGTTCTCCGCAATATTTTTTTTTTGATTTTTGGTCGCATTGGAAATTAAAGAAATATCACTAAAGAAAAAACCAAAACTTCGGAATGGAAACGCTTTCAATGTGGATAAAAACGCGTCGTCAGGAACAAACAGAAACAGCAGCAGCGACAGCAACAACAACAATTGCAGCCATGAGTCGATCCAGGATAACAACACACGCCACAACAACGCATGGATTAAACAGCATTTGGTCGCATTTCTATGCTTTTGTCGTTGCTGTAGCTGTTGCAATGCTGCTAAATTGCCAGGTCTGTCAAGGTGAGTAGCACATTGCGTATATATGTACATATGTATGAGTGGGAGTGTGCTTGTGGGTGGGCGTGTTTAAATAACGGAATGCAAACTTTAAATCCTTGTTGTCGGAGATTATGAACAAATGAAAGAGAATTTCAGTCGCTTAGTTGAGAAAATATTTAATACTTTGAGCTCAGCCAGCAGACGCAACGAGAGTCTAGACAATATTTGAAGAGTCTTCAACTAATTGTTGAACATAATTTAGACATTGACAACATAAAACAATTATCTATCAGCTCCACTGAGCTCAGCTCAGCTCAGCTCAGCTCAAGGTCTTCAGCTCTTCAAGTGCAATTGAAGCCGCCGTCGAGTGTGAGTTCCACGAAATTATGAACACCCAAAACTCAACGATTTCAGCTCTGTTTACGCTTTAGCAAAATAATGATGCGTCATTTCCATAGTTAACTATTTTAATGTTTTTTAACAGCTTCTTCTGAATGGGTCTGTGTGTATATAATCAATAGACTGGTCAACAAAACTGAAGTATCGAATTATGCTTTTCTGAGAGGGCTTTCGTGTTGTATATCCGAATCCAGATTCGTAGAATACGCAGATCGTTTTCCAGGCTTGCGTAATTAATAATTTTTATTTTCTGACATTTTTGACAGGCATCCAATCTGAAATTAGAATATCTCAAATCTGTCAGTTTGAGGTTTCTCAGCTCAAAGGCAGAAAATGTGTTTTTTTTGAGTCCTTTCGGGTACAATAAGGATAACTTATTAATGTTTGATTTTCTCAATATATTGTTATAATTAATTAATTTCAATTACTATCTCTTCCATCTTAATATGTTTATTTATTTCGTTATTGAAATATCGTCTGTCAAAAGAGATTTGAGAGGGTTTGTAGGGCAACAGATCAGAACAGATTCAACAGACGATATCTCGGGGAGACCGAGATCGTTTTATTTTTCATATTTAGTATCGTATCGGTGTCCCTAATAGTCTTTTTAATAAAAACAATTTCATTGCGAGTGCCTTAATATTTTTACTTTTGTAGAGACTAAAATGCAAAAGAAAAACTTTTCAATTTCTATCTTTATATGAACTTTATCTGCCAAAAACCTTTGTCAACTCTTTGAACACTGAATTGTGTTGGCCTGTGTATTATTATTGAATCGAATCGCAAGTTTTTAATTGTTCAAATATTCATTGATTGTGAGTTTCTATAAATAACTGAAGCCTGAGAACATTATTATAAATATACGAAACAATCATTAGCAAAATAATTAAAAAGTATTTAGCAAACAAATTTAAATGTGAGAAATATCAAAATTAAATCTTATATATATTTGAAAATAATTTAAAGCAAAGTTGCTATTGGACTGAAAGATTATAAATATAAAATAATTAACTTTAGACTTTTAATACTTCTTCAATAAATGCGAAAAGTATATTTGCTCTGTGAAAGTCAGGGACTTGAAATATGCACTGTTAATATGCTTTAGAGCAAGCCCAATTCAAGCGCTTTTACTTTTTGCCTCTCAATGCATAGAGCCACACACAAAGCCAATTAAAAAGCGTTACTAGGCTTTAGCGAATAGATGCGACCAAATGTGATTTTTCATAGAGTAAAAGCTGGCATAATTGGGTGTAACGAGCCGAATTCATCTAGCAAAATCGAAGCATATTGCATGCTCGCTGAGCTGACAATCATAGTCAATATCCATATATATATATATATATATATATATAATATATATAATATATATAATATATATATAATATATAATATAATATATATTTATATAAATATATGCATATATATATATGAATGGACTTTTTGTCTCTTTGTGTAAGATTTCCATTCTTAAGTGCATTTAGCATTTATGAGTAAAGGCTTTAAATGTTAATTTTGAGCTCAAAGAATAGCCATTGTTTCTAAACTCAGGTAATACTTGGGCTTGGGCTAGTTAATTATCATAATTAGCCGACAACCAACAGCGAACAGCCAACAGCCAACGGAGACAATTTTGGTTCATTGAACCGTTGACATCGTTGGCCTGGTCACGCTATTGGCCTCCTCCATGCCATTATGTGCTGAGCATTTGAGCTGTATCAATGTAAAAACGTAATCACTACAACCTGAAAGCTTAACTCCAACTCGATTTCATAATGCATATGTATGTGTCTTCAACTAATTTGTATTTTAATAAATGCAAATTATCTAGCTCTTATCTGGCCTTCAGGCTTCTGCTGTAAGATGGAAACACACAAAAAGAACATCCAGTTGTGTTAACAAAAATAGTAATGCGCCTGTGCACCAGAGGTTGGACTACACTTTGGAAATGAATATTAACAGTAATATATTTTTTATTAATTAAAATCTTTTTTGGCTCCTATCTAGGGAACAAGTGCGCTTCAGGCCTTTATTCAGTTTATAACAAATAATTCAATTAGCAACATAATTCACATCTGTTTTGTAATTTTTCTTTATATATTTATCTTTAATAATTTAGAAAAATACAGAAAAGCAATACTTCCAGTGTTGCTTTATATATAGATTAGAAAAATGTTTATATAGTTAGACAAATTTAATTTTCGAAGTAAATTGAATTATATTCAAATTAAATCAAATACTTAAAGTATTTTCCAATCGATTGGTATCGTAAGATGCTGTCAAAGCTCAGGCTAAAATACAATTGTTGACTACAAAATATAATTGTTCAATTTAATTTTTAAAGATCCTCTGAGAGATGTTGTAGAGTTCTTAGTCATTTAACCACATTAACTGCTCCGTTGAAGCTCTATGACAAACTCAAACTCAGGGACTTCGAAATCCGTTTCAAAGTTAGTTTTATTAAACAGTTTATAAAAGATAAATAGGGTCTTTCGTAACATTTTTAAGAAATTTGTGTACTCAAACAGATAATCTGTTGACTTCTTGCATTGAATTAACTTAGATTAATAATTTAAAAGCTTGATTGATATTTGTGTTGTTCCTTTCAGTTCTTTTACATTTCCAATAATCATTAAATGAGCCGCATTTGTTGATGTTTTGGCCCAATATATTTTAGCTACAAGCTTTATTTATGGCCACAAATTATTCGCATTCGTATTCCCATTCGCATTATGCTAATCATTGCGATAAGACATTAGAGAGGCCAATGAACCGCAACAAGCTAAATCATTCATATCGTTGCGAGCTGGCGTTTCCTTTCCTGAGACAACAAATTGCGCGTACTGCCAGCAAGCGAATGGAGTGATATGGAAAACTGGTTGACGATTGTCTACTCATACTTGGCACACTATTCCCAGCATTGACACAAACACACACACACATACATAGACACACATGCTGAAAACTTGGCCCAAAAGTAAGACAGCAAGAGCTGTTTGCGGCTAGCGAGCGGCCCACAAACAGAAGTGACTCGGCAGCTGGGTCAGTCAGTCCATATGCCGCTTACGTAATACAAGTCTTTTAAGAGAGAGAGAGAGAGAGAATATATGTATATATATATAGATAAACATAAGCCCGAAACTAAAAAAAAAAAATGAAAAGCGCAGTCGCAGTCCGCAGCTACTGCGGCTGAGGCTGAGCTCAACTGCATTGGCATGCAGTTGTTCATCTTGGCGGCTAATTATCATGCTGCACATATGAGCAGCAGGTAACAACTTGCAAAAAGCGAAAGTGCGTATGTGGCATTACATATTCAAGCTCGTATATATAAATATATATGTATGTATATATATATAGATATATAAATTGAATGCTGGCTTGTCATGAGCTCAACTGAAATTGCTTTGAGTGTGCACAGATTTATAAATGCTGAGCAGCCTTAGACTTTCAAATTCAAAATGTTGTATTGACTTTGCTGAAGCCACTGCAGAACTCGTTCACCTAGTCAAGTGAACGTAATCAGGGCTGCCGCTTCACACAATAACTTGAGGCCGGTTCAGTTTACACATTTACAGCAAGTCCCAAAGTTGAGCAGCTAAACGATTTGTATAAGAATCAAAATCAATACAACCTCATATTATATAGACATATCTATTGGTTTTTCTTATAAGATAATGCGAGTTCTTACTGTTTCGCTAAATAGATATACATTATGTATAAACTTTTCAAAATTATAATATATAAGGCTTATATAGACACTGAATTGCTAAATTAAGATGTTCATTCAAGTCATCTCGATTCTCTACTTAAGTTTTTAATTCATTTAAAAAATGTCCTGCATAACTTTAGGCTTAGTTAATAATTCCCAGGTTTGTATAGAGATATTGCTAGTGGGTTTAAGATGACATATTTGCAAAACAAATGTATCTGAATCCCTATATTAGCTTGGGACTTGGATTTTGTTGAATTGCTCGAAATAACGAAGTTCACAGAAGATTCAGACATATATATATATATATATATATTAAATGATATCAATAGTATATGCAACCGCAGCTTAGCTCTGTAGTCATCAGACAAAAGACATTGTATGTAGTTAATTACAAACATATTGAATGTTAATTAGCTGCTTAAGGTTATTCTATTGTTGAAGCCGGCCCATTGACACTGAGCTCATTGCGCGGTTTTGATTATAATTTGGGAGTTATTAGGTCTATTGAAACTGGTTGCCTTGGCGATAGGACGGCAGCTCCAATTGACGAGTCTGCGTGGCAAATTCATCAAAATAGCCCGTGGCCCATTACTCGAATGGCGTACCAATGTAGTTATTACGGGAGATGGTTGGGCTCTGATTTAGGCATTGAGATGGGGTTTGGCGATTGTGGCAATGCGCTGACAGTCTTATCGGGTATTTGCAGTCAACGGCGTTTAACAAACGATGGCCATAAAACTAAGCTCGCAAATTTTCAGCATCCAATGTAATCTAATTCGCACCAGCCACTCACTCAGCGTGAGCCAGTGAGAATGCTTGGGGCACGGGGTCGGTGGATGCTGTGGGTCTGGGACTGGGTTTCGGTCGGGGCATGTATCACTTTTCACGTGTGTAGTTCTAATGCCGCGCAGAT